GACCGCACTCCTGCTTCTGTCGGAGAATTGCACGACACTGCCCACGGAGCTCCAGTTACAGCTGAAGTAACCTGGTTAGCGCCAGACCAGCTCAACTGTTCGTTGAAGTATTCCGCCCATCGTTGTTCCGTACTGTGAATAGTTTGTCCCATCTTATCGCATACTGTTTCACTAACTACAGCGCCGATCTCCGGTATTGCGTATCAGGCGGAGCAGTCTTTGACTATTCCATGATGCAGCTGGTACTTCCATTTGACTGGCTATTGTTGCCCGCTATTTTTCACGGTCATTCTTGAAGCTGTTCGTGGGCTGACGTTCCTGACTCCACCTACCTCTGATTCGATCCCGGGCAGTCGGGTTTTGGCGCTTTTTCTCCATCAGTGTAGCTGACTCATCAGATATCCTATGCCTCCGACGGGCTTCAGGCTCAGACCCACAAGCAACATTCACTCTGGAATGCATTGGTCGCCTAACCTGATCTCACTGCTCATCTACATCATCAGGTCGAGGCGCGCTTTAGCTCATGCACTAGCTCTGATTCATAAGGTGCACAAACTGTAGGAACAGACAGTCGATGAGCTATGCGAGTTTTGCTGGTTTTGTCGTCGACCAATCAGTCGAAGATTGAATTGCATCAAAAATAATGCGTGGTACGACCCAACGTAGGAGGTCCAATAGGACCTGCAAATTTGCACTGAGCCACGCCAACTGTAGCTTACTGCTATGTGGTCGATTTGAGTAAGCGTACTAGTTGAACCGGAGCGCCACGTTGGTGTCGGAAGTTGGTGCTGGATAGGAACGGATGGTGGTCTGCGCAGAACTGAAGAAATGCATCACGATGAAATTGCACCTTGATCTGGTGTGATGGCTTGCGTGCCTCCATGACCCTACGAGCTGCATAGGATAGCTTTTGATAGCTGTAGATCCAATCATGCCTGAAAAGTCAACGGGTAGAGGCCAGATAAAGCTCAATTTCACATAGCCAGCTGCTTGAGCACCTCTTAGCTTCTCTTGAATATCCTCGCTCACACCTTTAGAGGTCACTCCAGATAATGAAGACGGGAAGGGGCAGTTTACCGCTAGAAACTGCTAGATGGATACTGGAGCGAGGTACCTGGGTCTTCCTCTTGACGGCGAGACAAATCTTCGCACTTCACTGGACAGTGATTGTCCGCCCAAGCTGGGCAGCCTCCATGCAGTAAGGTGCTGTCCTGTCCACGTTTCGCTTGTCTCATATGGTGTTTCAGACTAAGTGTCGATTCCGGAAAGCGGACCGATAATCCACGCACCAGTGGACACCAAACTTAAGCGAAATCTGAAGACGTCGTGTGACAGGTCTCTAGATATCCCCACATGAGTGCTTCGGTCACGCTCCCGCCTTGGATCTACGCCCCACTGCCTTGTGTTCAGAAATGTTAGTCGTAGGCTCCGGTTAGGTTTCCCGAGGAAAAAGCTTTCGGTGCGGGTAACCGCGAACTATGCCATGTCCCAAAGTCATAGGTACTCATTTGGAAAACCATGTTTCTCATCTATCCACTTCCTCTTCTCACTCCCAAACCTTAGGAATTGCATCCTGTTTGCGCCACCCATGGGATATCACTCAACGTTCAACTAATGAGGGCAACCACTCAGAGGTTTATAGACTTTTAATGCCGAAATCTCTTTTTCACTTAGCCGCATTTATTGCCTGCACACTCTTTCAGATCGGTCACTAAGATGCCTCAGCTACTACCCTTGAAACATTCAATTTGGACGTCTTCTAAACATACCGGCCATATATCAGTCATCGTTCTGCATTTTCCCACCCGATCTCATCCTCCTGCCTCATTCATCGTGTGTCAGGTGATTTGGAATCCGACGCTGGCGGTGTTGGGATTTCGCTAGGTGCCAAGGCTGAGCGATCGCTTCTCGGCTGGATTCAAGTCAGTAACTAACTGTATGCCAGTACGGTGTCAACAGCCACGGAACGAAGCGTTCCTCATTATTCGTTGTTTCCATATGTGCAGCGAACGATTTCGGCGCATCTGAAATGGAGGATGAATTCACCACGTTTCCTAATTCTTCCAAGCTGTTCTATCAGCGGACGTCGTAGCATTCGCCGGAGACTTCAGTGTTCAAATGGGATCCCTGAACGAATCAGAACGTCTTCTTGACCGTTCGCAGGCAATCCGGGCCAACCGAATGGACAATGGAGACCGCCTACTTTGAATTTGCGCGGGCCACGGATTGTTCCTATCGAGAAGAAACTTCTCGATAAAGAAACGACACCGCCTTACATGGAAACCGCCAAGCTCTTCACAGTGCTCGACACAAATCGTTCACATCGCTGTTAGTTACCGCTGGATTGGAGAAAGTTCAAAACTGCCGTTTGCCCTGGTCAACACCTATGAATACGCACCACACTCTTTTATGAGCCATATTTTCCCTACACCTGGTAACCAGCCGCATTAAAGCCACCAGAAACGGACACCCACAATTCAATGTCAACGATAGTTGTAAATTGGTTTTCCAGGCGGAGCTCTATGATCACCTTTCAGTTCAACAACCAGCCGAAAGATTTAATGTGCACTGGAAATTATTTAGCGAGGCTTTCCAAATGTCAGTCAAAACAACGGCGGATTCTGGCGAACGATCAAAGCACATACGATTGATCTCGTTAACCTAGGCTGTTTTGCTTGGCGTCAGGAGAACTTTTCCCCCAGATTCCATGTATGACAGCGCACAAACCCCTTAAATACCAGCTCATCAAGTGTCTGAGGACTGACCGCGATAGTTGGTGGATAGGGACGTGTAGATAGGTGAAAAGGCGGCAGCTATTGGTAATACTCGCACTCTTTTCCGTCTTATTAGGAATACGGGCCCAAGGAAAATAGGCGTAAGTGAAGTGAATGAGGAATCCAATCGCAAACTGATTCGTCATCAGCAACACCGTCTCTAAGGTGTGATGAGCATTTTAAAATTCAGCTTAGCTGGCCCCCATCGACAGCAGACCTATCACACTCCATCTCAACTGGGCAAATACTCTCAATTGATGCAGGTCCTCCATCTAAAATGGAGGTTTCTTGGGAAATAATTTATCTCAAAAAGCATAAGGTCTCCGGCCCGTATAGGTTGTTCCCATCGACTTTTAAGAATGGAGGTTTATCGTTAATGTTAGAAGTTGACGAGACTCAGGGTTCGGTATGAGAGAGTGAACAAGTTCTAGCCGAATGGTGTGAATCGGTCATCTTCTGATTTGCAACAAAGGTGGCAAATCCACTTGTGAAAGCCATAGAGAAATTCATTCAATCAAAATTGCCTCTAAACTTCTCGCTGGTATCATGCTCCGTCGATTGTATTCCGCTTGCGAAATAATCAGGTTGCCTTTAGACCCGGTTTTAAAGACCATGTTTTCACTCTTTGCGGGATTCTGGAGCATCAACATTCTTTTCGTTGACCCACCTTTATCTGAAAGCGGCCTTCTACTCAGTCGACCGCTCTTAACTCTGGCGCTGCCTTTCCCTGAAGGATGTGCCCGAGAAGTTAATTTCAATGATACGATCCCTTCATATTAATGGCCGAAGCCGAGTCCGAGCTTACGGTTTTATTCGCTCCAGTTCACTACACAAAGTGGTGTTCACCCGGGTTGCCCGCTCTCCCTTGTTATATTTCATTTTGTTATAGATATGATTCTGGAATCAGCCCTATCCTAATGGGAGGATAGGGGAAGACATTACTCTACTAAGTGAGGATCCAGGTAACTTGCAAACGTTTCTGGATAGTCTAAGTGCTAGCCTACCCATGTTTGGCATTCGTTTTGCACCTTCAGCGTGTAAAATGGTCCAACTGGACTGGGTTGGTCCAGCTGCCAATCCCACTCTAACTAGAGAAGTGACAGAAGTAGTGATCAAATTTTGCTACTTGGGCATCTTTATCTCACCTAGCGGATGCGTCATGGATCAATTGTCAGCAATTATACAGAACGCTCCGGTGACATTTGCCCACTTGAGATATCTGTGGCACCGCTGGGACATCCGGCTGTCCGTGAATGATTGAGTGTATGCTGCAGCAGTTCGTCCAGTTCTGCTATACAATGCAGAGACTTGGCCGTTACGAAATAAAGATAGATTGTTGATGTTCGAAAACCGCTGTCTACGTAACATTGCACGAATCTATTAGGGTAACTGAACAAGTATTGCTGAGATTAGGCGCAGAGTTTAAGGTAATTGTGGAGCAAGTAGCAGAACGCCATAGACTGCGTTGGTTGGGGCATTTTATGCGCACGTCACAAAATAGGTTGCCCCGGCTCGTGCTGTTTGGTGTTGTTGGAGAAAGTAAAGGGTGGTTGAACTGAGACCGGACATGAGAATATGAGAATGCTAACCAGGAGACTTGATCACATAGGTCGCATTCGGCTCCCTTGATATGGTCCTCGGGCTCATTGTAATCAATGGTTAGAGACACTGAGTGATATGGCCGAGTGTCGTAATGAGTGATGCTTGTGCATCTTCTCAATTTCTTTGCAACCGCAGTTCACTGAAATCATGCTTTTTTCTTCCACTCTGTTTTCAACTTTACTGTCTTTCTCCTTCTACCTCATGCAGATGGACAATCATGAGACAACAACTAAAACCGATGTACGAAATTGAATGGTTAATGATTGTACAGACTGAAGCGAAATCCATTGAACTTTGGTCTGTAGAATTTTTTTAGAGCATTATTTGTACCTGGTACCCATATCTTGTTGCTTGGGGTAAGGTAAATTTTCTTGGGATGTGGTTATTTCATTCCGGGAAATCTGTTGGCTGGAGTCCTGAAAAGCGACTCTGTTCAGTGGTACGAATTACTATCACAGCAGCGAATAGGTCATATGTTCAACTTCTACCCCCACCACAGCCGAAGTGCTGTGCACTCCAGCAGACCTTTGGTTGATCATCTCCCCTCTCCGTCTCTCATATAATTGATTCCACAAGTATTTAATAGAAACGACAATAACAATCATAACAAGCCATAATGTTAACAAATTAGGTCGGAAGTTGTCATACGCCACTTTTTATCTGATATCATGGTAGCGAGCGAGCTTCTTGTGCAGATGCAGTTTCGGTGAGTATAACCATTAATTCTGTACTGTCATGCACTAGTTTTGGCTACTGTTTTTCACCTACTCACTCAGTCAGCCAATGGGACAAGAGTAAATGAACGAGATAAAAAGCGGTGAAAAAGCACCTAGAATGCGAGTGAACTAGGTGTGTATACTCGAGCGCTGTCGTCCACGAAATTCGGCCACCTCATCATCCAATGGTTGTATTGGTTACGATATCCATATCTGAGAAGCAGAATACGACCCATTTGTTCAAGATTTGCACACTATCCTTTTTCAACTTCAAGTGAATCCGTTGTAACTTCAGGTGAATCCAACCAATCGCACTCCATTGGAAACCCTGACAAGATGATTGGTGTTTTGGCCGTCAAATGTCGCCGATTGGACTGGGTCTGTCTAAACCCCCTCCAGTTCGAATGAACTAATTTCTCGGTAAACAAACAAAAGTACGTTTTTCGCGAATTACCGAGCAAGGTTGAATGTTTCGGTAGGGTGGTGAGTGGGTCGAGGTGGGCCGTTCTCTCCCCGCCTCCCCCACACACCCGTTCCACCCAGGAACGTTATGTTCGTGATCGTTGATCGAGTGTGCGTTATAGGTACGAATGAAGAACTAACCCGGAGTCAACTGACCTCTGTCGGTCCGGTAAGGAAGGGAATCACACTAAGATGGATCGATAAGTCGGTCACCAT